TCTCTTTAGAAAAACTCCTCAGTCCTAGAAAGCTGAAAGGTTTAAAAAGTCAGTTGGCCCTCCGTATACCAGACTATTTTCTTTTCATGAAAAGGTATATGAAAAAAGTAGGGGATTAGCCATTAACTCTTTCCACGTAAGTGTTACCAGAACATAGTACTATTATAAAGTTGATCATCTGGCCTGGTTATGGTCTGTCCAATGGTGACCTCTCTTGAAAGATGATAGATAGATGAATTTTTAAAACCTATATAATAGACCATTTATAGCACAATATGCAATATTATGTATATGTAATGTTATATCTACATCGTTATATAACATAAACCTATATAATAATTTATAGAACAATATGCAATATTATGTATATGTAATATGTTATATATACCTCTATAACTAACACAATATATAATAAATATACAACATCATATGCACATATACTATTATATTGTAAACATCTAGCAATAATTTAACAACTTCTCTTTTTCTCAAGCAAAAAAAAAGACTATTTAGAGCAAGGGCAAAAAAATTTTTGTTAGGAACTAGATTATATTTCTACGACCCTGGTATTATATTAGGAGTAAGTAATAGAAGTTTTGGGTTTAAGTAAACAAAAACAAGATAACGATAAAGGATCCTTAGTGACAAAACAATGTAAATCCATTGGTTTATTGTCAAGTAAGTTTTTGTTACTCTAGCAGAGCCTCCATTACTAAGTAAGTTGATCTCTTCTGAAGCCAAAAATGATTTAAATTCTTGATAGATAAGGATACTAGATGTCAAAACTAACACCCAGCATATGCTTTTAACCTTTTGTACTAAAGCACTCATGAGTATCTTCAGACCATTGAGACAAACAACTATATATGAATGGCATTTCGAGTAGTTCTAATTCATGACAATATTTCCAGGAGTGTGGAAACTCACCAAACCTCATGGCAGAGACAAAGAATGAGTCGCTAACTTTTTGCCAAAAAACATTCATCCATTTGCCATTTATTATGGGCCTAAGACATGCCAGACACTGTGCCAGGTGTAAAATGTGAGCACTAGGTCTAAACTCTGTCCTTGAATGTTTTGCTTGAGCATAATTATTTCTCTCATTGAGTTCCACTGAGCCCCTGAGGTTCCAGAAACTCAGGAAAAAACAAAGTACAGAGTCTTCTCTGTTAAATTTTTGTATGACTTACAGCAATAAATTTTCATCCCCACAAAACATTTATTTGTATTTATGGAGAATGTTTAAAGTATTAGAATCCCTTTAAACCTACAACCTTCCTTTCTTTTAGTAGTCAGAGAGGGCGAATCTTTGGCAGCTCCCTCTCTCTTTGCTCTTCTCAAATAGCCGTGCTATTTTTCTCTGGCTCCACTCTTTAGGATATAAACCTGTTGAATTTATCAGGAGCCTGGCTATTTATCTTGTGAAATTCTACATCACTGGAGGTTGATAAAAATCCAGAAAGCACAGAAATCGATGTCTTCAATCCCAGAACCAGTGAGACAAGCGCACTAGAGGGGCGAAGAAGGGAATTTGCTGCCTTCTTTCTGCAGCCAGGTTCGGAACATGCTATCGTGTTGCCTACTTTCCAGAAACTAGAGCCATGGGAGCTAGCCAAGTTGTTCAGAGGTAGTTTATTTTTTTTAAAGATTTATTTATTTATTTATTTGAGAGAGAGAGAATGCGTGGGAAGGGGCAGAGGGAGAGGCAGAGAGAATCTCAAGTGGACTCTGTGCTGAGCGTGGAGCCTCAGGCGAGTCTGGATCTCACAACCCTGAGATCAGGACCTGAGCTGAAATCAAGAGTCGGACGTTTAACCAACTGTGCCACCCAGGCGCCCCCAGAGGTACTTTAAAAGGAGAATTTGCTTAGTCTCTGCTTCCCCCAGAAGCATCTTGAAATCAGAAGAGCCTTAAGAAAACATAAAAGCTTCAATACATTCACGTGTTCTGGTAGAAGGCTCCATTTTGAAAGGCTGCATTTTCACTCGTAAGCATCTGAAATAATCTTAAAAATCTAAACTCTGAAACTTTCAGAGTTAAGGCCACAGAGAGCTCCTGAAATAGTGACATCTTACTATAAATTATTTTCTAGTGGTCAACTTAGTGTCTTCTTAGAGAGACCAGAACTGTAGTCACCAGCCTCAAATGTCAGGTTCACTCCCATGAAGAGCCGTGACTTGCTGTGTTATTAGGAATTTGTCTCTCTCAATTATTTTCTGCCCAATTCACTTTTTCCTTTTTTCTCACATTCCCCTCATCTACTATTATGTCTCCACTCTCATAATTACTATAAACAAAATATGTATCCGTAACAACTTGGTTTTGAAAAATATAGAAAAACTAGATTTTAGGCTTACAGAAGTATCAAGCACGTAAAATGTTCTACACAGGGAGGTTAGAGTTTTGGCTTGGAGACGTAATAGGGCAATGTCTAAAAAATGGATTCGATCCCTGGACCGAAGTGGTAAACGATGAAATAAATGAACATGAGATAAACATGCTGATGGTGTCCTCCAAGACCTTGGCTGGCTAACGCGATGAAGACCTCACGGACCCTCAAGGCATATGTGTGTGAAGGAACATTTTCGTTTGGCAAATTTCACCCTTCATTTTCTGGGTGTTGCAGGATGGGGGCTGGCCCGAAACCTTTTTGACATGCCTGAAAGAGAAGGATTTAAGTTGAGTTCATTATCTCTTTAGTGCCGAAGTCTGGGAAACGAAGAGGCTAGACCAGGGAGGCTCAATCCATCTAGCGTTCCTTTTTGTTTTTCAAGCTGCCCTGACAATAATGTGGCAGGGTGAAAAGATCAGGAACACTTTATACACATTGTGCTAATTACTGCAAGTACTTAAAGTTGTAATTAGCTTATTATACTGCAGAGATCCTAACATGGCATGTCTTTCAAAAGAATTTCTCTCCAGATCATTAGTGGGAAAGCTAACAACATCTGCTTCAAATAAAATCAACCAATTAGCACAGGCAACTCCACATAGTTTGCAATCAGAGAATTATATTGTGCCAAGTGCTAATTTCAATGTGAATGCTATCTCCTTCTCATATCCCACGCTTCTCTGCCAGCACAGCTGGTGTTTAACACCACTGACTTCAGCGAAGTCTCCAAAAACTTATGTTAATTTGAAATAACCTAATCAGAAGTGTGCAATACAGACTGAGGTTGATCTCAGCTTAATTAAAACTGACCTTGTCATTTCACTGCCTGTAAAACACCATTATCTCACCATTTATCGCTCAACTACCACAAATATTCCATTTATGTGAAAACCCAGGAAGACGAGTTCCAAACCACTAGAGCTATTTTGAGCGCTGGAGTTTAATGGAAGGAGAGGTCTGCCTTTAAGTACCGGGCAACAATAAAGGTAATTCAGCAGACTCAAAATAACTTGTCAGCCCTACCCATGAAGGCTGCTTCTGCCCACTTCCGTTGGCTCGAATGGCACATTCACTCCACAGACTGACAGGCATTAGCAGATGTGAAGGCTTTCATTTTAAAATTAATATCTCACCCAGTACCTTTCAGCAAGCTGAATCGTTCAATCAATAAGCATGACATGGCAGGTGTGATGTGTACAAGGCACTAAATTCTTCTGCCAAAGGTACTAGAAAACATCTGCTCACATGCGTGTGTGTGCATGTCAATGGATGAACTGCTAAGGAAAATGATTGCAAGTGGAATATATAATATGCTTGTATTCAATGAGATAAAATTAAAAACAAAGATCGTATCTTTATGGTGCAGACCTGCCATCAAACACACCTTGTTTGACGGGCCTTGTCTATAACCCTGTGTTTTTATAGGCACATGGTCACCTGTCTGTCAAATTAAGCAACCACCATTCTGGTTTTCTGCACTTTAACAGAAATATCTCCAGCTTCTCCTTCTGGGTTTTGTTTGTTTATTTTCAAACCATCTTAGTCCATAAAGTATCCAGGGCAGTGCTATAAGTATTGAAAAATAGATTCATGAAATAATTCAAATGATTCACATCAGGAAGACTTTTTATCTGTCCACACATCACATGCTCAGCCATAACTCAACAAAATTGCTGATGCTTTTCTTCCAATCAAGCAAGCCCCCCTTTTCCTCTTGTTCTATCCACTGAGCCACGCCCAATCTCTGATTACCATAGCCCACGTGGACTTCACCCCACAACACTTACTTGCTAGGCCAATCTTTTGATACAATCAGATATTGACTATCTTGAATTGTTTAATGTGTTCCCGTTTTATCTTGGCCAAGTCATGGAGGGATAGTCTCATTCCATTTATAAGGAGACCCTCTGATCTTTCAGAACAAACAGAGGACAGGGTGCGAAAATAACTGAATTCTTATCTTGATTCTCCTGACTCTGTGAGCTGGATAAGTGTGGCCTGGAACCATATACCAACTTGTCCAAGCCCAGGTCTCCCCATCTGTGAATGAGATTAATAATACCTACCTAAGAAAGTGAATTTTGAGATTAAAAGAGATACTACGATAGATGTGACTGAGTCTAGGAGTTCAACAAATGTTTAGTGAGTAAGGTACATGGGAGGTAACCAAAGACTTAGTGAAATACTGCTTCAACAAATGTAAGACCCCAGGAAAAAAATTTACCAAGGAAGGAAACAGAAAGTGGCCATTTTAGAATGTTCATAAAACTAGCCTATGTGCCAGTGAGAGGGGTTATTTACATTCAAAACCCTATTTTTAGAAGTAAAAAAAAATGGTATTCGGGCACAAGAGAACAAAGCCCATGTCGATTTGAACCGACGTAGGTAAGTAAAGGAGTCTCCATCTCACTAATGATGTTCGGGCCCTGTGAGATGTTGGTATAATGGGTAGAAATGAATGCTTTGTGATGCTAAGTGCTAACAAAATGAAGACAGACTACGGAGACAGCATAGCTCCATTCTGTTTTCACTGACGGTATTGTTTTATTTTGGCTATTACTATTATTCAGGTTACTTTGGAAATCCATATGACACAAGACTCCAAATCAGAAATATTGTGCAACTAAACCCTCAGACATGATAGAAAGCTTTTCAATGAAAATCTTCATCATTTCTCAGAGAACCATTCAAACAGAAGTACAACCACGGTTAAACCAACGAACCCAAACCAAAACAAAAACCTGTATCCACTGAAGCACCATTTGCCCAAAACAGATATAAATTAAAATAGCCTACGATTAAAAAACTTTTTCATTGGTGTTCATATGACCCTGAGGTCACTGAATCAACAGATACATAATCTGTATTAATTGTATTTTATCAACTCATAATTTTAACATTGTTAAAATGTGTATGTTTAACTATATCGTGTCCATTCTGGCTTTTCCAAGACCATCTCAATTTCATATTTTCAATTGTTGTATAAGTAGACATGTGTTTGTCAGACCATATATCCCAATTTGGGATGCAAAAACTCTAGTCTCCACATTTAATTGTGAGCCCTCAGTTCACTGGAATGTGTAATGAACCAGAAACTCCATTCCAGGTCGCTAGGACTGTGCTTCCAAACTTAAGTATTCGATTTACGCTTTATAAGAAATATTTCTGTACCACCTACGTGTCACTTCATATGTGGACTTATCAACAAAATGAGGGAATTCCCAAGAACAGATTTGGGCCACTTTTGCTTCAGCACAAATCAGTAATCACAGAAATTCCCCTAGGGTCCTCTTCTCAGTTTTTTCAGCCCCTTTTTTCCTTCTTCTTCTCTGACTGCATAGTAAAGTTTCTTAGTGCCCATGTTATAACAACTTCCATTCCAAAAAGCCCAGACAATGGATGATGTTTACTTGCTGTTTGCAAACAACAGAATCCACAGAGTTGCCAGCAGATGCCCTTGATTCACTGTGAATGAGAAAGGGAATTAGAGGAAATCACTGTGCATTGTGTGTCCAGCTGAGATGGATGCTGGCAGAGGCGCCAGGCAAAATTTCAGAGCCCAAAAGTATATTTTCTGGGCCTTTCCCACTACGAAGCAGTCCCTTAGAGGCTGACCATCTCCCTTGTAGCTCTATTCAAGATATGTCCACTTTTCAATTTTTTAAAGCCATCTTTCATTTTCTCAAGACCTGTGAGTTCATCTGATAAAATGAGTGACTGACATTGTACTTCCCAGATAATCTTTTTTTTAATTTTTTTTAAGATTTTATTTATTTATTTGAGAGAGAGAGAATGAGAGACAGAGAGCAGGAGAGGGAAGAGGGAGAGAGGGAGAGGCAGACTCCCTGCTGAGCAGGGAGCCCAATGCGGGACTTGATCCCGAGACTCCAGGATCATGACCTGAGCCGAAGGCAGTCACTTAACCAACTGAGCCACCCAGGCGCCCCCTTCCCAGATAATCTTAGATTTCAGTAGGTAATGTCGAGAAGTTCTATAGTCTAACCTAAAGCAATAGGTTTCTACAAAATACCTTGTACCACATTAGGTCAGCGAAGAACCATTTATCAAGAACTGAGAATGGTCTGAGATTTTATCTTTTCTTTTTTTTTTTTTAAGATTTTATTAAATCTTATTTTAGAGAGAGAGTGTGTGCAAGTCGGGGGCGGGGGAGCAGAGTGGGAGGGAGAAGAGGGAGAAAGAATCTCCAGCAGACTCCACACAGAGTGCGGAGTCCGACGTGGGGCTCCCTCTCATGACCCTGAGATCATGACCTGAGCTGAAACCAAGAGTCAGATGCTTAACCGACTGAGCCACCTAGGTGCCCTGATTTTACCCTACTTTCAAGCTGATAAATTAACCTGCCAATATCACAGATGCAGGTAGAGGGCAGAATCCTAGATCAAAATACAAAGGACTTTACTACTCACAGTATAGCCCGAAGCATGAGTCTCATGTTTGTCAATTCCTCTTACTCCACACGTCCCACGGACTGACACAGAAGGGCTCCATTGGATCCTTGCCTGCAGTGGGTGTGCATTACACCTGAGGAACTCCAAGCTTAGGGAAACTGAATCTTTTATAAGGGGCAACCAGCATGCCTGCCCTTTGCCCCATTGGGAAAAATTATTTTTACAATACTGGACAGTAAGCAAATCTGCCTTCTTCTCCAGAGGGATGTGATCTGTATCTTCCAAGGCTGTTTGCCATATAAACATCCTAGAAAAGAGAACAAAGGCCAATCAATGCCTCTACTCACAAGATGTGCAAAATAAGAGAGACCCATGGAGAATTGTCTCCCCCCACTATTCAGAAAATGATTTTCACTAGCTATCCCAAATAACATCTTGTATAGACTTTTAGTTCTCACTTGGAGAACTAATAGATGTGCAATATTCGTAGGCCCCACCCCAGAGATGCTGATTCAGTAAGTCTGGGGTGGGGCCTAATGATAGTCATTTCTAAAAGATCCCAAGTAAAGCAGATGCTAGCGGTTCCTAGACCATCCTTTCTGCACTATTGTAGATGATAATTTACTGATGTCTAGGAAATAATTGGAATTAGAAGAGAATGAAAAGGTGACAAAGCCCACAATTAAAAGCAAATAAAGAAGGAAGAAGTAGAGGAGCTGGTCTGCTCTTACTCAGGGTAAGCAAGACGGGGTCTTGGATTTCGGGCCTGTATACATGGCAATGAATTCTTACCTATGACTTCCAGCTAGATGGTGACAAGGTTAGTTTGCTTTCCTAAGTTCAGGACTCAGAACTGGTGAGGTGTGATCCTCCATGAGCCCAATCTGAGAGGGGAAGTCCACGCTTAACAAATGCCCCTATTCTCGTTTGTTTCCTTCTTCTGTTGAGCTCCATTTCACCCTGCCCTTGAGACAAAAGGTTTCCTCAGTGGGTGATACTGATTTTCTCCAAGAAACATTTATCTATCGATATGGTATGTTCAAGACGTGCATGTTCACATTAGTATTTGTCACACTGACAGTACAATAAACATAATATTTAACAACTTTTACTTGAGAAATTTTTTTCTTATGTGATATGCTATTCTGAGAAATTAGGCTAAATTATAGCTTTATTTTTATAAATACAGTTTTTATTAACCTCAGAGACAGTTTCACATGTGTCTTCAGAGATAATAAGAAGTATCTTGCTATTTCTTATTTTTTAAGCATGACATGGCATATGTGGACTATACATATGATGCCCTCTGAGATCAAAATGAAAGCTGTCAACTGAAAACAAGGATGCAGAGCCTACAATGGGAGACATAGTGATTCTTTTTCAGTCCTTCACCCTCTTCAACTTCTCTACTCCATTTGATATTGTTATGTGTGATCCCTTTGAAGCATCCTACTCCCTCACCTTCTAGGACATCAAATTTTGGATTTTTTTACAAAATGATTTTTATCATTTTTATAAAATTTAACCATGCTTATTATTTTTTTTAGCATGAATCATGGAACACTACATCAAAAACTAATGATGTAATGTATGGTGATTAACATAACATAATAAAATAAAATTTAAAAAAATAAATAAAAGATAAGCAAGAAAGTATTAAAGCAAAGAATTACTCCAAATCATATCAAACAAAAATAAATATTGTTAAGATTAGGTGAACAACATGCCAAACCTCTCTCTATACCTGTAGAGATGGGATGCATAGATGAGTAGGGGTATATGTAGATTAGAGAAAGAAAAAAAAGAGAGAGGGAAACAAACAGGAAAAGACAGGTTGATAAAGACCACCCCATAAAATGGGATTATATTCTAAATGTTGTTTTAAATAAGATGCATTGGGACACCTGGGTGGTGCAGTCAGTTAAGCGTCTGCCATCAGCTCAGGTCCTGATCCCAGGATCCTGGGATCGAGTCCTGCATCAGGCTCCTTGCTCTGCAGGAGGGAGCCTGCTTCTCCCTCTGCCTGCCACTCCCCCTTGCTCATGCATGTGCCCTCTCTCTCTCTCTTCTCTCTCACACAAATAAATAAAATATTTATAAATAAATAAGTTGCATTAAAATTTATATGAATTTAAAAGAAAGAGGGGCTCCTGGGTTGCACAGTTGGTTAAGAATCCAACTCTTGGGGTGCCTGGGTGGCTCAGTTGGTTAAGCGGCTGCCTTCGGCTCAGGTCATGATCCCGGGGTCCTGGGATCAAGCCCTGCATCGGGCTCCCTGCTCAGCAAAGAGCCTGCTTCTCCCTCTCCCTCTGCCTGCCTCTCTGCCTACCTGTGCTCTCTCTCTATCTCTCTGTCAAATAAATAAATAAAATCTTTAAAAAAAAAAAAGAATCCAACTCTTGGTTTCGGCTCAGGTCATGATCTCAGAGTCGTGAGATCGAGCCCTACATCAGGCTCTGTGCTCAGCACTGAGTCTGCTTGAGATTCTCTCTCCCTCTGCCCCTCCCACTCATGTGCACTCTCTCTCTCTCTCTAAAATAAATAAATAAATCCTTAAAAAAATAAACCTAAAAGAAAGAGAAGAAACTGAAGGGATTTCCAGTTTAAACTGATAGGTTGAACATATGTGCTTACCTCTAATACATCCTGAAACCTCATTAAAATGTGAGCAAATGAAAAAAGAAGAAAACAATGTAGGTCCACAAGGATAAAAGACAATGGAGAAGAGACCATAGCATAAAATTTTGGAGAGGAGAAAGCCCATAGGTGAGTGGAAACCCATATACCTGTGTGCCAAGCCAACACTGAGAAAAGCTGAAACACACTACAGACTCCTAGATACTTCAGGCAGTGACACGGTGACACAGACGGTAGGGCTCAATCACTGCAAGAAAGTTGCTTTAAGAAGCAGTTAAGGGGAGTCTGGGTGGCTCAGTCGTTAAGCGTCTGCCTTTGGCTCAGGTCATGATCCCAGGGTCCTGGGATCGAGCCCCACATCGGGCTGCCCACTCAGCATGGAGCCTGCTTCTCCCTCTCCCTCTGCCCCTCCACCTGCTTGTTCTCTCACTCTCTCTCTGTCAAATAAATAAAATCTTTTAAAAAAATTAAAAGAAGAAGCAGTTAATACCCTCATGCATGGTAAATGTAAAATGTTGCAGACACTAGGAAAAACAATCTGACAGTTCCTCAAACAGCTAAACACAGTTATGGTATGACCCAGCAATTCCACGCCCAAGAGAACTGAAAACCTAGGTCCACACAAAAACTTGCCCATGAATGTTAACAGCAGCATTTTCATAATAGCCAAAAAGTGTAAACAACTCAAATGTCCAACAACTGATGAATGGATAAACAAGATGTCACATAACCACGCAGTGGATTATTATTTGGGCATAAAAAGGAAGGTCTTCGGGTGCCTGGGTGGCTCAGTCGTTAAGCGTCTGCCTTCGGCTCAGGTCATGATCCCAGGGTCCTGGGATCGAGCCCCGCATCGGGCTCCCTGCTCGGCGGGAAGCCTGCTTCTCCCTCTCCCACTCCCCCTGCTTGTGTTCCCTCTCTCGCTGTGTCTCTCTCTGTCAAATAAATAAATAAAATCTTTAAAAAAAAAAAGGAAGGTCTTCCTCCCTGACACTACCTACTCATAAAATCATTAATAGGGCACCTGGGTGGCTCAGTTGGTTAAGCAATTGCCTTCAGCTCAGGTCATGATCCTGGAGTCCCGGGATCGAGTCCCACATCGGGCTTCCTGCTCAGCAGAGGATCTGCTTCTCCCTCTGACCCTCTTCCCTCTCATGCTCTCTGTCTCTCATTCTCTCTCTCAAATAAATAAATAAAATCTTAAAAAAAAAAAAGAAAAAGAGGAAACATGGCAGCCTAAGGCAGTAAGAATGGGAGCAAAGCAGTGTCAAGCTTCTCTGATATGGCAGATGTCTGACTACAACACGATGACTCTGCTCTATCTGGACATCAATATTCAGGGGGTTTTTTTGTATGTTCCCTACAGTCAGTGTTAGGAGGGATTTAAACTCCCATCCTATAGAATACTGCCCAAAATGAGAAAAGGATGACTGATTCCTAGGGTTGCATCAAATGTTACTGATTCCATGAAAATATATTTCTAAACAAAAAGAGAACATTTGAGGAAGAAGACAAGAATGGGTTAGGCAGGGGACATACACTAGATTATCTGGGGTTCACCTCTGCATATGGCAGACACACCTACCTTCCTCAGTGGTTCCAACACCGGCTTCAGAATCTGCCCATTTCATTCTCTGCCCGTGTCTTTGCTTCCTCCATCTTCCTATTCATTCACCTTCTTACCCTCCGGCCTTAGAGCCCGGTCTTCTAAGCCTTAAGCATCCTCATCATCACTCCCCAGCGTGGCCACCTCACAGGCACCAGAATCACGTGAAACTCGGCTCCAGCTCACTGATTCCAGCTCTGTGACTGCCTTCCCGAGCTTCAACCTTTTATATCCCTCAGTTCTATCTACCTTTCCTTTCCCTTAACTGCTTCCTCAGTCTCTAACAGTTTGCCATCCTCCAGGAAAAGGATATGTTCCTTCTGGTGACATGTGATGCCACCAAAATGTGTAATTGATACAGATAATAGAATCTAAATTTCCTCACTCTATCATACACCTCTCATATCTACCTAAACTTGACTAATTTTTAGAAACTCCAGTTTACCACATTTGTTCTTTTATGGTTCATATTTAAGAACTCCTGGCATAAGAAGAAATAGAAATGGCAAATAAGCACATGACAAGATGCTCGGCATTACCTGTCATCATAGAAATGTAAACATACAATGGAATATTACGCAGCCATCAAAAAAATATAAAATCTTGCCATTTGCAATGACGTGGATGGAACTAGAGGATATTACGCTAAGTGAAATAAGTCAATCAGAGAAAGACAATTATCGTATGATCTCACTCATATGTGGAATTTAAGAAACAAAATAGAGGAGCATAGGGGAGGGAGGGAAAAATAAAACAAAACAAAATCAGGGAGGAAGACAAGCCATAAGAGACTCTTAATCTCAGGAAACAAACCGAGGGTTGCTTGAGGGGAGGGGGTGGGGGATGGGGTAACTGATGGAAATTAAGAAGGGCACATGATGTAATGAGCACTGGGTGTTATATAAGACTGATGAATCACTGAACTCTACCTCTGAATCTAATAATACATTATATGTTAATTAATTGAATTTAAATTAAAAAAAAACACAGTGAGGTACCACCACACACCCATTAAAATAACTTTTAAAAATGGAAACATTAAGTGTAGACAAGGATGCAGAGCAACTGGACCTCTTGTTACTGTATGTGTAGCACACATCTACTCTGCAAAACAGGTCAATTCTTAATTGTAGGAAACAAACTGAGGGTTGCTGGAGTGGGGGGTGGGGTGGGAGCGATGGGGTGACTGGGTGATAGATACTGGGGAGGGTATGTGCTCTGGTAAGCACTGTGAATTGTGCAAGACTGTTGAATCTCAGATCTGTACCTCTGGAACTAATAATGCAATATATGTTAAGAAAAAAAAAAAGAAGAAGAAGGTAGCGGGAGGGGAAGAATGAAGTGGGGGAAATCGGAGGGGTAGACGAATCATGAGAGATGATGGACTCTGAAAAACAAACTGAGGGTTCTGGGGGGGAGGGGGGTGGGAGGATGGGTTAGCCTGGTGGTGGGTATTGAGGAGGGCACATTCTGCATGGAGCACTGGGTGTTATGCACAAACAATGAATCATGGAACACTTCATTTAAACTAATGATGTAATATATGGGGATTAACATAGGAATAAAAAAAAACAAAAAAATAAAATAAAATAAAAAAACAGGTCAAGAGTTTCTTGTAAAGTTAAACATAGTTAACCTATAACCCAGCAATCCCACTTTCAGGTATTTACCTGAGAAGGGGAACTGTGTTCACACTAATCTCTGTGCGCAACTGTGAACAGCAGGTTTATCCATAATCACTAAAACCAGAAAAAACCCAAATGACCCTCAACTGGGGAATGGGTA